TGAGACCTCCATAGAGGCTTCAGACGGTTAGAAAGTTTGGAAATGAGGGAGAAAAAAAACAGGTCAAAGAGCCGTGAAACCGACTGGACTCACCGCAAACAGCAGCAACACGAACATCGGCGAAGAAACCCGCATCATGGCTGACGGAAAGTCCGGACGAAGCGCATACTAGAGTCTGCAGACCGAAGTGAACCGACACAGTCCCGGTGTTGGAGAGTGATGAGAGCCGCTGAGCTCGCTGAGGTGGAGGTGAACAGGAGGAGGAGACGGAGGAGGAGGAGGAGGAGGAGGAGGAGACAGGTGTTCGAGACCGGGCCGCTCCCCTACATTGGACTTTTCGTAGGCGTGCTTGTCTCCGACTAAGCCAGCTCCGCAAAACATAAAACCGTCATGAGATTTATGAGTATAAGGACGGTTATTAACTTTATTTGTCTATCACGTTTTCTTCTTGGGAATCTGTTCACGAGCTTATGTAACGACATCACGTGACTCTTCTTCCCCACAAAATAGACCAGTCACGTGCCGTCTACGGAGGTCAACAGGAACAGGTGGTTAACGTGTACAGCTGTGAGGAATATAAAAATTTGTTTACGAGAAATTAAAAAATAAAATGCTGCTCCAGAAAGTGATGCACGAGAGGAATGCTGGTAGAAAACTAAGGTAGTATATTAATTTGTCCGCTCAATGCACTCTCTATATATTTATTTAATATACTGAGAGTGAATACGTGGCGTTCAGGTGCCACCGAGTAGAAAACTGTTTAGTCTGTAACTGGAAAAACAGTGCAGCTCAAAGAGACATACAATTGACTTATTCCTATCCTTCTGCTACACATTAGAGCTCTTAAACGTTATACTTCCTCACACTGTCCTATAATATAGGGTATGTGAAAATCAAAGTGAAATGAATGTTCCTGATTGGATACAGAATGCTGGGTTGTACTGGTTCAGGGGTGTCCAATCCTGGTCCTCAAGGGCCACAGTCCTGCATGTTTTAGATGTTTCCCTCTTCCAACACACCGGATTCAAATGATCAGGATCGTTATCAGGCTTCTGCAGAGCCTGATGATGAGCTGATCATTTGAATCCGGATTCAAATGATCAGGATCGTTATCAGGCTTACTTACACCCTCACTGTGGTGAAGACACTTACACTCTGGCCCAAAAATGCTGGAACATTTTTAGTACTTCAAACTTGTCATCACCGTGCTCTACAAGTTGTGAAACAGTTTCCTGCACGTCTAATAACAGGGGTGGCAGCATGTGGAGTCCACGGAATACCAGGTTTTGTGAAGAAAGCATTTTGTGACAGGTATAGTGTTGCCTTGAGTAAGGCTTCACAGTCAATCCTTAGACATAACTTAATTTTACCGACCTAGATGTCTGCATATAGTGATTTAATATTCAATTTCAATTCAATCCAATTAAATTTTAGTTATATAGGGCAGTTTACAACATATGCTGTCTCACAGCGCTTAACATAGTAAGGTGAAGACCTTACAAGTTTAAACAGAGAACCTAACAATCCAAAGATGCCTTTGGACTTCCTCTGACCGAACGGTAGGCAGCAGTGGGAAGGAACCAAACCCCTCCACAAAGGGAGGAGGAAAAAAAAAAAAACTCCAACAGAACCAGGCTCAGAAAAGGCAGCCGTCTGCGGTGGGGGTGAGAATGGAGGGGGTGGTATGACTTCACTGTTACGGGTTACTCTGACACATGCCAGCATAATAATGTCATGTTTGCAATAGGCCTTACACTTAACAACCAGTTCCATTGTAACATTAGTTTGAGCTGTTGACAGAAGACAGTTTGACAGTCTGCACTTGCGATTTTGTTTTCACTGAGATGATGTTGGTTCCTCAACCTAGACAAATCCATCCATCCATTATCTATACACCACTTAATCCTCATTAGGGTCGCGGGGGGGCTGGAGCCTCCTAGACAAATCATTCTTCTAATCTGTGTATTATTAGCTGTAGTACCAGTATTGTAGGAGCCTAAATCTATTTCTTTTGTTTTTGGATTTGGTTCTTATTTTGCCATGATTATTTCTATTTGGTTTTGATTTGTTGTTCTACTTCATCATACCTAAAAACACCTATACTTCATTGTGGTAAATGTTTTTTGGTATAGATTATGGTTAGCATTTTTATTTTACTAAATTTATCTGTTATTTGTTTGAATATTGTTAATCATAATTTTGGGAGATTGCATTCTGTGTTAGTGTGGTGTTTTGGTTTATTGATTTATTTTTTGCAATATTTTGGCTCGCTATATTTGGGTCACTTAAATTTGCGAAGGTTTTTGGGAAAAGGCTGATGGCATGGAGCCAAACAATTTTTTGACCACACGTTGTTGTTCCTCATTTTTTCCACTGTATGTTTCCTTTTGTAAAGTTTGTCTGTGCACTAAAGTTTTTTAACCGCAACTTGGTCTCAGTGGATTTTATCATTGGAGTAGACCAAGCAAGGTGCATACAATGTGGATATTGGAAATGCTCCGGGGGGGCGGGGCAGTGAGTCAAGCCGGGCTTCATGAGCTTTGCATCCTACAAGCAATGTGAAAGAGACATGACAAAAAAATCAGGTACAAGCATAAAAATAATATACATTTTTTCATTTTCTGCCTCACCAACTGAATTTATATAGGCTCCCATGGCAGATATAGTTTGTGCTACTGCAACTGCATGGCTTTGTTCAGTAAAATTATGAAGGCACGGCTCAACAGGTTTGTAAAAATAAGGCATTTAGTCATTAGGTGGCAAACTGGTAAAAGGGAGACGCTTCTTCCAGCTGATTTAAATCTGAAGCTCTGAACAAAGCCTAGTCTGTTACCCTGGTGATCTAGCCAGGTTAACTACGAGCCACCTTCCTGAAACTGAAAACTCTGGCTGTAGGCTCAACATTATCCATTAATCTTGCTTCGTAGAATAACCCTCAGGGTTAGCGCTGTCACCAGCTTTACAGATTCTTGGCAGTATTCCACCCATAGACATAGCTGATTGAAAAAATAAATCCACAAGAGAACTTTCTTGTGATGATTTATCTAGAGGAAAAGGTTTTTTGCTTTGCATATGCACTATGAGGACACTGCAAGTTATTCAACGTGTCAATGAGTAGAAACATACACCTGCAAGGGGCATTTTTGTGGTTCAAAACTGTTTTGCTTAACAGAAGTAAGCAGCCGCACATTTCTTTGATTGTCTACTGTGACTACATGTTGCTACTTGTCAGATTACAGTCTGGGGGCACGTTGATGTGGGATAGATGTAAATTCCTATACAGTTGGTAATGTAGTAAATTTGCATAAAAGGACCTGAACCGTCTGGTAACTGAATGTGTGTTTGTTCAAGTGGGAGACAGAGGGGAGGGAACAGAAGGTGGAATGTGGAATAATGAGGCTAACCTCTGCACGCAATGTTTTTGAAACCTATTTATACTAAGCTGGCATAGTGCTGTCACTTTGAACCTAATTGACCTGAGCCCATGATGTTATCTATTACCCTTATTTGAGCCACCCGTTTTCCAAAGTATGTATGCACAGGAGACACTGAAGGTGAGGATTTATCCAGCTATTCACTACACCTGCTTTATCCTGTGGGAGGTCATGGAAGGGCCAGAGCCTATCCCTGCTAACTGGTCCATGTCTAGATGAGTCCTATTTCCGTAAAAGTTGCAACAGAAATCTTCCAAGGTCTGACCTACTAACTTTTACATGTCACTTTCAACATGATACAAGTCTGAACTGCAGGCAGTTACATAGAAGTACTTCATGTTTTGTGACACTGTTTGGGGAAGGCCTTTAAATTTAAGCACTAAAATTGGCCCATAAACATCGTTAGTGTAAAAGACAAGGCTTCCGTGCCTTCAGGTACCATATACACACACAGACCTCTCGTTAACCACAAAACACCTTTAACTATGTTGAGTTGTGACTCATTTACTGGGCTCCATAATTCCACATCTATTGAATGAATGTAATCTTGGTTTCTGATAAAATATCAACAGGAGTTAAAGTTTTGTTTGTTGCTTTCAGCCAAACTCTTGACTTGTATTGGATATAGATGGAATTGGCAAATATCCTACACAGTCATTGACTTTATTCTATGAATTTCAGCAGCATCTGTCACAATAATATTGCAAAACCATAAAAACAGCCTGTCTTGCATTAGCACAATTGCAACGACAACTCAAAATTTACAGTCAGTTGAGAGATCTGCATGAGTTGTAACTGACAAATTGAGCAAATGTTTTAGCCAACAATAACAATGCATGCGTTTACAGATAGGTGGAATCATTTACAGATTTTTCTGCATCTTTACAAATCTCAGTGCGGTTATAAATCTGAATACAGACTTGGAGATAACTTTTTATACATTTAAAAATCAAATTAAATTTAAGGAGGTGACCTGCAGCTAGAAGATCCCTGGTTCGTGTCCCGGTTAGGACACTCGGGATGTTTCTGCGTGGAGTTTGTATGTTCTCCCTGTGCAGTGTGGGTTCTCTCCAGGTTTTCCAGCTTCCTCCCACAGACCAAAAACATGTTGAGGTTAATGGGTGATTCTAAATTGTCCGTAGGTGTGAATGTGAGTGTGCTTGGTTGTCTGTCTCTAAGTGTAGCCCTGTGATGACTGGCGACTTGGATGTCCCCTGCATTCGCCCTAAGTCAGCGGGGATAGACTTCAGCCCCTCCGTAACCCTAGTGAGAATTAAGTGGTGTATAGATGATGGACGGATGGACGGATGGATGGATATAAACTGCAGCTACAACTTAAATTTAGCCACTCTCTTTTCAAAATAGTCTTCTTAGCCAGTTTCCAGAACTTCTGCAACATTTGAAATGCTCTCTAGAATTATGTTCTAACCACTTAAAGCTGCACATTTTTGATTTTCACCATGGACTTCTAACTTGCACAGAGAGCAAACATCAAATTCTGTATTGCACTAACCCAACCTTCATGTCAAGGATCATCACTGGTGACAAGAGGTAGGTTCACTGCTATGACCCAACGACCAAACTGACATCTTCAATGCAAGACACAGCAGTTTTTAAGACGGAAGAAGGCACATCAGGTCAGCATCGCAACTGAGACCGAGTTTTTCATTTTGCTTGCCATTGTGCTGTTTGTCCCCCAGAGTC